CAAATATTTTATTTCAAGGGTAATCTCACATCAAAATTTACAAACAAAAATTAACAAATGTTGAAGTCATCCTACCTAATGGACAGCCTGTTGGCACAACAAGAAAAAATTAGTATTGGAGAACTTGATGTAATGAGGTGATCTAAAAAAAAGGTCTAAAATAAGTATGTTAAAATGAGATAAAGATTGAAAATACAGAAAATAAACCACAATGAAAGAACAGGGGGCTATGATTAATCAACTGAAATTTAAACTATAGAGAATGAGTTAAATAGTGAATCTGACACTGCTAAAGAGAGATTTGTAAATGGAAAGATAAATATAAGGAAATCATTTGAAGTTCAGTAAAGAGATAAAAAGAACGAGAACGGCAGATCTCAAAGTGTGGTCTCTGGATCAGAAGTATCAGCATCACCTGAAAATTTGTTAGAAATAAAATTTGGGGGCCCTATCCTACATTTATGGAATCAGAGATTCTGGGGGTATAAGCCAGCAATCTATCTTTTAATAAATTCTCCAGGTAATTCAGATATTTACTATATTTGAGAATATCTGAACTAGAGAAGATGAAAAATAGATTTGGAGATATGGAGACATAGAAGTTTTTCAACATACCTTAAATATTCTAGGGGAAAGGAGTAGGATAAATAAAAAAGATGCACTATTATAAACCATAGTGACTGAGAATATCACCAAACTGGAAAAGAGAGAGAGAGCTTTAAGATTGACAAACAAATGATCCATTAACATAATAAATGCTAGCAAATCCAAGTTACACATTGTGGTAAAATTGCAGAATATCCAAGACAAGCTATTATCTTAAGAGCAACCAGTGAGACTGACTTTCAAAATGACAGTATGAGAACGTTTGTCCAGTCAGGCAAACAAATATTTAATGAAAAACTTAGAAATTAACCATCTAAAGGCTTTAGAAATTGTCCTAAGTGTATATAGCAAATGGACAACCATTTATTCAAGACAATTTACTACATCTAGGTAAAAGCAGTAAGAATCTGTGGCATTTAAACCATGACTCAATATCATTTCCTATCCTGTTCTCCTCCACCCCCAGCTCAATGTGATGGAAGCTCTACTTCAGGCATTTGAAGCAAAGCAGATAGGTCTTCCTGTCTACTAGCTCTCAGTCTAGGGCTACAGTAGGACCCAGGAGGGCACCCACATCCCACCCCAACTCTGAACTGCAGAAACCCTATTCTGGGAGCTGTTGCCAAAAACGATGGTCTCTTCCTTTACCCAGTCACACTCATGTGGCTGAAGTTCTATTTCAAGCACAACAGGCCATGGAAGCCTGATCCCAAGCACCCCTGCCCACCTAACTTGTAGGGCAGAGGTTCCATGCCAAAAGGGGCAAGTCCAGAAGTCCAGGGACTACTTTCCTGCCCGGAGCCCCACTTGCTGAACAGGGAGTCACTCTAGGAGAAGTGGGCAATTGTTTTCCACCCTCAGCCCAGACTCAGTGTGGCACAGTGGTTCTGTCCACTAGGAGAAGCAGACAGTAAGCACAGAGTTCACAAATTTTCCTAATTGAGTTTCACTTAATTTGGAAGAGATTATGGGCATTTTTTAACACAACGGATATCACCAAATGAGCAATTAAGAGATTGGTAGCTCTCTGAACCTAATCACAAAAAATCAAAACTGTAAACAGGAAAGAATTTTAACTGAGAGAACCAGTGAAAGAGATAATTAAACAGAGCCTTCAGGGGGTCAGAACAACCACAAAGACTGGCAAGACTGTCCCCGTAAAGGGGCCTTACTTTAATTGGATCAGACTGTGGAACAATTTATGCCTCAGGATAGTGTTGCAAAAAATACAGCAATCATCTAGCAATTAGTGAAAGCAAATGGGTATGATATTAATAGAGGCTGACCATCTCAGGTGCTCAGGGGGACTGTTCATGCCCAAGGCTGCATACTCTCGGAAGAAACATTAGAGAGACTTCACACAACTGGAAAAATCAAATACACTAAACTAGTCAAATTATCAAGCAACTAAACATGCAAACAGTAAGTCCCAAAAGGTAGAGGAAATAAGGATCCAGAGTTGCTGGATTACTTAAAATATCCAGTTTTCAAGGAAAAATCATAAATCATGCAAGGAAACAGTAAAGTGCAACTCATAAACAGGAATAAAATCAAGCCTGTGAGGCCAAAAATCTCAGGAAAAACAACAACTAAAAAGAGTTGAAAGCATCAATTAGAGAAAATCTACCTTCAAATTAATAAAAGCCAATACATTTATCCTGTAATTCAGAAATTCTGAGAAGCTCAGTGAAATATCTCTTGCTTTCAGGTCTCCCATACCAAACATGTTTCAAATGTTTCAAAAAATTCCTCATTTCCAAAAATCCCAAAGAAATAAAAATATTTGCAATAGCTGAGAGATAAGTTATTTTTTCATAGAACCTGTGAAGACTTAGCTCGTTATTTAGTTGAACTCTGAACATGATCCTCAACAGCATCTTGGGACAATGGGGTCTCTGATTACGTTCATTGACAAGGACCTGATTAGACCTTCCACTCTTGGACTGTTGTCACTGGTATTAAGTTTTTCTTTGTATAGTGGAGAAATCAACTACCTCGTCACTTTTCCACATAGTTCTGAATGTGTCCTCCAGAACAATGTAGAATAAATTGATACAGACTTCATCTCTGAGCTCTTACTGTACTTGCTCTTCACCTTGCACAGGATATATCTTATGTTGTGGCATTTTGAACATCTCCCTGCAATGTTTCTCCCATACCATTCATCCAGATTTGGTCATGCTGCTACATCCAATCTGTGGTAACATGGTGCAACTTGTGAAACCAAGTGGTTCTTTGAGGGTTTTCACATAGAACCACCAAGTAACAAACATTGTAAGTATCTAATTCTAGGTATTTTCTCATTTCTTTACTTTTCCTGCCATGTGTACTTCTCGGACTACCATATCCTGAAATATTCATGACTTCCTCTCTCTAGGCATCATGTGGGATTCCCTGCAAAAGCAGGTGGGATCAGAGAAGAAGCTTGATGCCAAAAGTTTGCAGAGTAAAGACAATTTTCTCAGCCGTTTCACAACAATCTGAGTTATTGCTGTGGTTTACCAATCCTTACTCTGTGTTTCAGTATGAGTTACCACGAGTCTGGCTTTCTGCAAGGTAGTGATATGTTTTCAATTGCTAGTTATTTACCAGGAATGTCGTTTCTTGTCATGTATTCAATTAGTCATTTTAAAAAACACATTTATCTCTATAAAGCAAGGCTAGGATTAATGCTGACCTATTTCTTTTCCCTGGATTAGTGCATTTTTTCTCCTATTTGTGCCTTAGCACATGAACCCTATGTTCTTTTATTAAGGAAAAAAGAAAAATGTTTACAAAAACGTTTATTGGCCTACTTCACAGTGTTTTGCTCACTGCCATTTAATCCAAAGATTCTATCTGTGCTCTGACCAACACTGTTCATATCTGAAATGGTCATCATATTACTTAATAACACATTTTCTACTCCATTTGGGATCTCCTTGTTCTAAACACTACCACATATTTAAAATTTTGTTTTATTTATGAATTTTTATGGTGTTGGATCTCAGATTTAGAAGTGGTACTCTCAAACAATGGTATTTTCAACCAAATTATAGTTTATGGTCAAAAAGTCAAAGTTATTTCCCAAACTGGTACTTTAAGATGGCTTTAAGATATGGAGAACAGGATGCATATTGTGTTTAGGGTAGACTATACTATTTCCTGTGGAATCAATTTGTTTATTTCCTCTTGTGAGGAATGAAATTGAACAGTCTCCTAGATGGCAGATTGGTCCATGTCTGGTATGGTGCTGTTACTAAAATAAAAACTGCTTGATCCCATACTAACTATATCCTATTCCCTTTCACCTATGTGCAGTGGCTGAGACCTAACAGCTGCTTCAGTGAACATCAAATCTCGCCCAGAGGAAGATTTGCATTGCTCCTCCTGTATATACAGAAATTCTCTGGATTCCCTACCCATGCACATCTGCTGGTGTATCATGCCTTACAAAGAAGACAACTCTTACTGAACACCAAGTGAGTGGTTTTGAGACATTTTTGCATACAGAATCCTTGTTGTGGATTAAAAACAAAGGGACAGGATTGGGTGCGTTCAGGGTGGGATGGCCTTAGACTAAAAACAAAGGGATAGAACCTCATGAGATGCCCCTGACAAGGAAAATCAGATTCTAACAACAACCACTGATATTTGTAAATATACAGATATATATCTCTATGAATGGATATTGACAGATATCATCTCATTTTAATTTCAACACTGTCATGTGGGGTAAAATAGTAGACCCTTTTGGTTACCACATTAGCTTCCACCTAAATATATACCCTTTGCAGAAGTTTCACTTTCTGTTAGATAAATTATGTGAATCTCAAGAAGCTGCTTCCTGGGGAGCAGAGCAAGATGGCAGAGGAGTAGGAGACCTGGATTTCTTCTGGTCTCAGGAATTCAGCTGGATAGGGATCAAACCATTCTGAACACCTACAAACTCAACAGAAGATCGAAGAAAAGAAGAGCAACAACTCTCCGAACAGAAAAGCGACCACTTTCTGGAAGGTAGGACGTGCAGAGAAGGGAATCCCAGGCGATATTTGGGAGGACAGATGGCGGGGGAGGGGGCCTCCGTCGGCCGCTTCTGGCAAGTGATAGAGCCACGGAGCACAAAATCGGAACTTTTAAAAGTCTGCTCTGCTGAGGGACGTCACTCTGGTGGCTAAGCGGGGGGTGGAACCCTCCAGGACAGTGTGGTCTCAGGACCCTCGGGGTCAGAGAAAGACCGGGGGTGCCTGAGTGCAGCAGAGCTCCCAGGTACCGGAGCGAGGAAGCCAGCTGCAGAGGCAGAGCCAAGGAGGGGGCTCGCAGCTCAGGGTTGCCATAAACCGTGATCCGCGGCCCAGTCGGGCCCCTGCTCCTCCAGCAGGGACCCAACAAGCGGCAGATCCGGGAAGACTCACCTTCTTCTCCTGGGAGGAGCCATGTGGGAGCGCACTGCAGGGATCTGCTGGGTTTGGAGACTCCACCTGGGGTCGGGTGCCAGAGAGAGAAACGCTCAGTCACAGGCCAAGTGAGCACGGAGTGCTGCCAGACACCGCGGAGACGGGAGTGAACTGACTGCTTTTCTTTGGGGGCTCACTGAGGCGTGGGGCGCCGAGTTCTTGGCTCCTCCAGGGTGGAGATTGAGAGGCTGCCATTTTCACTCTCGGCTTCCAAAGCTGTACCTAAAGCTTTCAGGGAACAAAAGCTCCTGTGAGCAAACCCGAGCAGATTACTTAGCCCAGACTGGCAAGGGAAGGGCAATTCAGCCTCTGGCAGAGACATTTAGGAACCACGGCAACAGGCCCCTCCCCCAGAAGATCAGCGAGAACAGACAGCCAAGACCAAGTTTACTGATCAATGAGAACAGCAGAACTCCAGCGCTAGGGGAATAATGCACATAGAATCCATGGCTTTTTTACCATGATTCTTTAGTCTTTCAAAGTTAATTTTTTTAACTGTCTTTTTTTCGAATTTTTCTTTTTCCCTTTTTCAACCAACATCTTATCAATCCCTTTTATTTTTATTTATTTATTTAAGATTTTATTTATTTATTTGACAGAGAGAGCAGAGAGAGAGGGAACACAAGCAGGGGGAGTGGGAGAGGGAGAAGCAGGCTTCCCATGGAGCAGGGAGCCCGATACGAGGCTCGATCCCAGGATGCTGGGATCATGACCTGAGCTGAAGGCAGACACTTAATGACTGAGCCACCCAGGCACCCCATCAATCCCTTTTTTAAAAAAACATTTTTATTTTTCATTTTTAGAGTCATATTCTATCCCTTCATAGTAGTTACCCATATTTTTGGCATATATATATAAGTTGTTCTCTCTTTAAAATTTTGAGATAGTTTCTTCTAACAGAATAAAATATATCCTAAATCTCTAGTGTATGGTTTTGTTCTACTCTCCTGCCTGATCACATCCTCTTTGTTTTTTAAATCCTCTTCTTTCTTTTTTTCAAACAACTTATCAATTCCTTTTATAAAATTTTTTATAATTTTCATCTTTACAGTCATATTCCATCCCCTCATCATATCAACCCTTATTTTTGTACATATATGTTTTTCTTTCTTTAAAATTTTGAGAGGCACTTCCTTCTAACAGACCAAAATACACCAAAAATCTAGAGTGTGGAAATGATCTAGGCACCAGCCTGATCATATTTGATCATATTCTTTTTGTTTTGTTTTGTTCTGTTTTTGTTTGTTTTTATCTTTTTCTTTTTCTTTTCTTTTTTTCTTTTTCTTTTTTCTTTCTTTCCCTTTCTTTTTCCCCTGGCTTCAGGGTCTTTTCTGATTTTTTTAGAGTATATCTTCTGGGGAGGTTGTTACCCTATTAGCATCTGTTAGCATTTTGTTCTCTCATTAATCTATTCTCCTCTGGACAAAATGACAAGATGGAAAAAATCACCTCAACAAAAAGAACAAGAGGTAGTACCGACTTCCAGGGACCTAGTCAATACGGACATTAGTACGATGTTGGATCTAGAGTTCAGAAACATCACTTTATTTATTTTTTATTTATTTATTTTTAAAGATTTTATTTATTTGCGAGAGAGAGAATGAGAGACAGAGAGCATGAGAGGGAGGAGGGTCAGAGTGAGAAGCAGACTCCCTGCCGAGCAGGGAGCCCGATGCAGGACTTGATCCCAGGGCTTCAGGATCATGACCTGAGCTGAAGGCAGGCACTTAACCAACTGAGCCACCCAGGCGCCCCCAGAAACATCACTTTAAAGATACTAGCTGGGCTTGAAAAAAGCATGGAAGTTATTAGAGAAACCCTCTCTGGAGAAATAAAAGAACTAAAATCTAACCAAGTCGAAATCAAAAAGGCTATTAATGAGTTGCAATAAAAAATGGGGGCGCTAACTGCTAGGATAAATGAGGCAGAAGAGAGAATCAGTCATATAGAAGACCAAATGATGGAAAATAAAGAAGCTGAGAAAAAGAGAGATAAACAACTACTGGATCATGAGGGCAGAATTCGAGAGATAATCGATACCATAAGATGAAACAACATTAGAATAATTGGGATCCCAGAAGAAGAAGAAAGAGAGAGAAGGGCAGAAGGTATATTGGAGCAAATTATAGCAGAGAACTTCCCTAATTTGGTGAAGGAAACAGGCATCAAAATCCAGGAAGCACAGAGAACCCCTCTCAAAATCAATAAAAATAGGTCAACACCCTGACATCTAATACTAAAACACACAAGTCTCAAAGACAAAGAGAAAATCCTGAAAGCAGCCTGGAGAAGAGATCTGTAACCTACAATGGTAGAAACATTAGATTGGCAACAGACCTATCCACAGAGACCTGCCAGGCCAGAAAGGACTGGCATGATATATTCAGAGCACTAATGAGAAAAATATGCAGCCAAGAATACTATATCCAGCTAGGCTGTCACTGAAAATAGGAGGAGAGAGAAAAAGCTTCAAGGACAAACAAAAACTAAAGGAATTTGCAAACACAAAATCAGCCCTACAAGAAATCTTGAAAGGGGTCCTCTAAGCAAGGAGAGAGCCTAAAAGTAACACAGACCAGAAAGGAACACAGACAATATACAGTAACGATCACCTTACAGGCAATACAATGGCACTAAATTCACATCTTTCAATAGTTACCCTGAATGTAAATGGGCTCAATGCCCCAATCAAAAGACACAGGCTAACAGACTGGATTAAAAAACAAGACCCATCGATATGCTGTCTGCAAGAGACTCATTTTAGACCCAAAGACACCCCCAGATTGAAAGTGAGGGGATGGAAACCATTTGCCATGCTAATGGACACCAAAAGAAAGCTGGGTGGCAATCCTTATATCAGACAAATTAGATTTCATACCAAAGACTGTAATAAGAGATGAGGAAGGACACTATATCCTACTTAAAGGGTCTATCCAACAAGAAGATCTAACAACTGTAAATATCTATGCCCCTAACATGGGAGCAGCCAATTATATACGCCAATTAATAACAAAAGCAAAGAAACACATTGACAACAATACAATAATAGTGGGGGACTTTAACACCCCGCTCACTGAGATGGACAGATTGTCTAAGCAAAAGATCAACAAGGAAATAAAGACTTTAAATGACAAACTAGACCAAATCGACTTCACAGACATATTCAAAACATTCTATCCCAAAGCAACAGAATACACATTCTTCTCTAGTGCCCATGGAACATTCTCCAGAATTGATCACATCCTAGGTCACAAATCAAGTCTCAACGGGAACCAAAAGATTGGGATCATTCCGTGCATATTTTCAGACCACAGTGCTTTGAAACTAGAACTCAGTCGCACGAGGAAAGTCTGAAAGAACTCAAATACATGGAAGCTAAAGAGCATCCTACTAAAGAATGAATGGGTCAACCAGGAAATTAAAGAAGAATTAAAAAAAATGCATGGAAACCAATGAAAATGAAAACACAACTGTCAAATTCTTTGGGATGCAGCAAAAGCAGTCCTAAGAGGCAAGTATATAGCAATACAAGCCTTTCTCAAGAAACAAGAAAGGTCTCAAGTACACAAACTAATCCTACACCTAAAGGAGCTGGAGAAAGAACAACAAATAAAGCCTAAACCCAGCAGGAGAAGAGAAATAATAAAGATCAGAGCAGAAATCAATGAAATAGAAACCAAAAGAACAGTACAACAGATCAACAAAACTAGGAGCTGGTTCTTTGAAAGAATTAACAAGATTGATAAACCCCTCGACAGACTTATCAAAAAGAGAAGAGAAATGACCCAAATCAACAAAATCATGATGAAAGAGGAGAGATCACAACCAACACGAAAGAAATACAAACAATTATAAGAAAATATTAGGGGCAACTCTATGCCAGCAAATTAGATAACCTGGAAGAAATGGATGCATTCCTAGAAATGTATCAACTACCAAAACTGAACCAGGAAGAAATAGAAAATCTGAACACACCTATAACAGAACTGAACCACCTATAACCTATAAGGAAATTGAAGCAGTCATCAAAAATCTCCCAACAAACAAAAGCCCAGGGCCAGATGTCTTCCCAGGGGAATTCTACCAAACATTTAAAGAAGAATTAAGACCTATTCTTCTGAAACTTTTCCAAAAAATAGAAATGGAAGGAAAACTTCCAAACTCGTTTTATGAGGCCACCATTACCTTGATCGCCAAACCAGACAAAGACCCCATCAAAAAGGAGAATTACAGACCAATATCCCTGATGAACATGGATGCAAAAATTCTCACCAAAACACTAGCCAAGAGGATCCAACAGTACATTAAAAGGATTATTCAGCACGACCAAGTCGGATTTATCCCTGGGCTGCAAGGTTGTTTCAACATCCGCAAATCAATCAATGTGATACAATACATTAACAAAAGAAAGAATAAGAATCATATGATCCTCTCAATAGATGCAGAAAAAGCATTTGACAAAGTACAGCATCCTTTCTTGATCAAAACTCTTCAAAGTATAGGCATAGAGGGTACATACCTCAATATCATAAAAGCCATCTATGAAAAACCTACAGTGAATATCATTCTCAATTGGGAAAAACAGAGCTTTCCCCCTAAGGTCAGGAACGTGGCAGGGATGTCCACTATCGCCACTGCTATTCAACATAGTATTAGAATTCCTAGCCACAGCAATCAGACAACAAAATAAATAAAAGGCATCCAAATCAGCAAAGAAGGAGTCAAACTCTCACTCTTTGCAGATGATATGATACTTTATGTGGAAAACCCCAAAGACTCCACCCCAAAACTGCTAGAACTCCTACAGGAATTCAGTCAAGTGGCAGGATACAAAATCAAGGCACAGAAATCAGTGGCATTCCTATACACCAACAACAAGACAGAAGAAAGAGAAATTAAGGAGTTGATCCCATTTACAATTGCACGCAGGCCTTAAGATACCTAGGAATAAATCTAACCAAAGAGGCAAAGGATCTGTACTCAGAAAACTATAAAATACTCATGAAAGAAATTGAGGAAGACACAAAGAAATGGAAAAATGTTCCATGCTCATGGATTGGAAGAACAAATATTGTGAAGATGTCAATGCTACCTAGAGCAATCTACACATTCAATGCAATCCCCATCAAAATACCATCCACTTTTTTCAAAGAAATGGAACAAATAATCCTAAAATTTGTATTGAACCAGAAAAGACCCCGAATAGCCAGAGGAATGTTGAAAAAGAA